GAGTTTCTACCTTTCATTTAATTTATAAGTAAATAATACTCATAAAAACGTAATTAAATTGTATAATTTTATTTGTATAACTCAATTTAAATATGTCAAAAATTAAAAAATTAAAGTGATATTTACTTGTTCTAAAACAACTAATTCTACGTTTATTGCAGAACTGATATTATCTTTTTGTAATTGTTGCAAACGATATGCTGCACCTAATCCTGTTGGTGCTGCACCGATCACCACAATCTTCATTGATTTGATTGAAGTACCGAAAAAAAAAATACCAACTTAAGTAAATAATTAAATAAAATTTACTATTTAATTTAATTATTAATTATTTACTACTTTATTTAACAACTATCTTATTTAATCTAACTCTTGCAATATTGTACAAAAGTCATTAATTCATTAAACTTTAAGCATTTGAATGAAACTGCTAAAATTGGACATATTGTTGTATCAAAAAATTAACGTTGACAATTGTCATAATGAGATTTATAAATTTTCTCCTCATAAAATATTTAAAATTGTGTGCGCATATTAATGCAATAATTAAATTTGAATTGTTTTACAATAATGGTAATTAATTAATTAAAAAAATCAGTACTGTTCAATTGTTTGTAAAACTAAAGCATAGTGAAGTGAGAATAACTAAAAATCAAATAAATATGAATCCCCCGGATGTTTCTGATAAAGATATGACATGTTATGATTTGTTATCAGTCATGACATTCATTGAAATCTAAATAGGTCAGACCTAAATTGATGAATTATTGTTATAGACATGTGAATTATCATTGTTCAAGAAAGTTATCACTTTTATAAAAGATAAATAATAATATATTTGGTGATTGAAGTTGTGCCATAGTTTTCTTTATCTCTTCTAGCATTATCAGTTAATTAGCAAGTAACTCTAGTAACTATTGTAAAGTCGTACAATAGCACAATATGAATTTTAATAACACAAATAATCGAATAAACTATTTTTTCACATTAAATTAACTAAATCAAATTTTATCCTATTTTGCATAATTTTTATGAAATTTTTTCATTTGTTTACTTTTCAATCGTTTTAATTGTAATTCTGCAAAATATTGTTATTACTTTTTGTTGCTTCACTTCTGGTTTCAGAATAAATAAGTTAATAGGTCAACGTTGATCAAAATGTAATCGATACAAAAGTGAATTAAAAATAATCAGTTCAAAAAATAAGAATCTCTCTGGACAGTTTCGTGGTTTAGAGAATCTGCGTGACTGATGTAATTTGCCTTGATTTAAGCTTTTTAGTACAAAATAATGAAATTAACCAAATACAAACACAAAATTCAAGTTCAGTATTTCACGTGATTTCTCATGCGTAAGCGTTCCAGTCAAATTACTGCAAATATAAGTGATCCAAACAGAGTAAAAAAAATATTACAAAAAAATTATTACATCAATTATATCCCATAGCTCGGCTCGCATCATTAGACAGTTATAGATATATATTAAATATGTATAAAATAGTAATTTTTTGAGCTGCTGAATTTTGCATGAAATTTGCTCATCACAGCAAATGAAATCTTAGATTACAAAAACGACAAAGTTGTCGCTTATATCTATTTGACCCATATAGCATTGATTACTCCAATTAGAGATATTGATTGAAATGAAAAATTTTTTTTACTGTATGAAAAATTTTTGCAATTCATGCAAAATTTGCTACTAATTATTAAAAAATTATGAATTTTTAGAACAGTTTTGAAAATTTAATTATGGCAGCAAATAATTGATGGAAATTTCATTAACAAATTTATAAAAATAAATTTATAAATTAACATTGTAAGTACCATTTTTAAGTATTCTGCAGATAAAACTTGATAATTTTTAATTTTTTGTCGATTAAACTTTTACATGTAATTTAAAATTAAAATTGTTATATTAGAATTTAAACTTTTATTAAAAATTGAAATTAATAAATCAGAATTTAAACTTTCAATGTAATTTATAATTGAATTTGAATTAAGTGACTTCTTTAGATAGAATCATTCTTACTTAAATGCAAAGTGAGAAAAAATACTCATTACTTTATGAAATTATGAAGTATATATTATTTATATGGAATAAATTTAAGTTTTAGCCAAATTATACATCTACTTTAATGGCAAATCTTCAGTAACTGCAACTTTGAAATGTTGTAATAAATTGAAGCAATAAAATTATTTGAGTTTCTTCTTCATCCAACAACTGCTCTGCAAATGTTTGCATAAACTTTCGATAATTATTTCCTCTTATTGAACTTAAGTATTATTATTAGTGCAAAGAAACAATAATAATAATAATAACAATAATAATAATAATAATAATAATAAA